TCGAAATTACCTCAACTACTTGAAAAGTTCTAAATACTTGATAATTGACATAATTACAATATATCATAACATAAATCAACAAAACTCATAATCATGATAAAAGAATAACATTTCATTTATACTTTGGGATAGATTGGAGAGTGTCGAATAGTGAGCGCTACGTGCTATTGATTCTTTATAACATTGTATATTTAAAACTTTAAAAATTTTACATTATCTTTAATCTCCTAAAATTTATGAAAATACCCGCTTTTTTTTTTCCAAAAACTTTCTAAAATAGGATTTTCTTGAATTGAAAGTTTCTAGAAATTAGAACAATCTTAAATTTGGAAAGTTTTGAAATATCGTTTTTCGTCTTATTAATTTAAATAACGTGCAATCAAAAGGCTTCCATATGAGGGGGGTCACGAGAGGACCGCTTAAATCTTAAACTCTTCTTAGACAGTTTAATTCTTTTTGACAAAACTTTACAATCTTGCTAATACTCAAATCAAGAAAACTCAAATAATAAATAAAATTTAAGACTTGTTAAAATATGAATTTTCTAATTGGTAAAATTTAAAACATCACCCAAAAGCTAAACACACAAACATGTAAAATAATAATTTTGGAACCAAGTTTAAAGTTATTATTTAATTATTTAAAACAATCATTAATATCAATCATTTAAAAGAAAAAAATCCGTAATTTCTTTTTATTTTTTTATTTTTTTTGAATCTATAGGAAAGTAGAATCTTTGCTCTAATACCAAACTATAATACCCCAAATTTTCATAAACAATGTAGTGTTACCAAAATTCAATTTTCTTTGTATCAAATGTGGAACGATAAAATAATATTCTTTAATAAAAATATAACTGGAATATCCATAAATTTAAACTAAACATGGAAATTGTATCATAACATAATCGGTAATTAAATAACGTGTTTTTGAACAATTAAACCTAACTAATAAATTGAAGGAAAAAACTTAGGGCCTGTTTGGTACAGATTTTCATTTTCTACAGTAAATCAATTCTCATTTTCAATCACACATTCTTCAATAAAATAATATTTTTCATCACATCAATACTTTTTTCTTCTTTTTTAACCACAGATTTCTCATCATATCACTATTCAAAAATCAATTCTTCCCTCAAAAATCCCTACCAAACACACTCTTAATGTTTTTATTTCTTCAATTCCTCCTGGTAGTCCGCATTACCATCCAACGACAGTTACATTCGACGTGAACTAACTTATATATTTTGTAAGAGTGAGTGTTTAAAAATACCCAATAAGATACATGTTGTTCCCATACACAATTATATAAAATAAAATAAACAATTCATACAACTCTTCTTTTATGGAGTATATCGGTGATCAAGCGACACACTCATCTGAGGTCATCTTAAATTTTCGTAGGATCTCTTATGTCTTAGCCCCTGTTTGTCTACCATTATTTCAAAAAGTTGTTTGTTACAGTAAAACTCTCTACCACACATTCACCCAATAAAATATTTTACACACAAATCAATAAAGTTATTTTAAATTTCAACCACACATTCTCCAAAAAATACTATTCATTACTCCATTTTCCTCCCCATAATGGTAGACAAACAAGCTGTTAGAACAAACGCGACTCACGAGAACTATAAAAGAAATGATTGCAAACTGTATATCTAAGGGTCCGTTTGATTGTAAGAGT